AATAAATTACTGCTTTTCCTTACCAAAAAAAAAAAAAAAAAAAAAAGGATAGCATGTTTTGTACACTGCACTGCTCCATGCTTTCTTTTAAATAGAGAATTATTTCAAACATACAGAAAAATAGTTTTGTTATAACAAACACCTAAGTACCTTACATCAACGTTATCAACTCTTCACATTCTTGTCTTATTTTCTTACAATTTTTTCAAGAAATAGAATATCAGAGATATGTTTTAAGTTCCAATGTATCCCTCCTTTCCCCATTTTTTTTCCTTTCTCTTCAGAAGTAATTGCTTGCCTGAAGTTTTAGTTGGTCACAATTTTTTTTTACTATACATATATGAATCCTTAAATAGCATATCGTGTTGTCTGTCGTATTTTAAAATTTTATACTCATAGTATCAAGCTGTATATAACCTTCTGCAAGTTTTCTCAATATTTTGTTTTATCCATGCTGATACCTGTAGCTTTGGTTTATTCACTTTAACTGTTTTTATAGTATTTTATATTATAAATATATCACAGCTGATTTGCTCATTCTTCAGTTGGTGGACATTTAGATTGCCCCTATTATTTTATTATTATTATTATTATTATTATTATTTGCTATTTCAAACAGTGCTAAGATGGACATCCTTATTCCTGCAGCCTGTGTCTACGACATAAACTCTAGGTTCATTGTTGAAAACTTGGAAGCTTAAAAAAATAGAAAGATGAAAACTAATATTACCCACCATAAGTTATTGTTTATTGAGCATTTAACATAGATCAGGTATCATGTTGGGCACCTTATGTGCATTACTTTATTTAATTCTCACACCAACCTATATATTAGGTACTATTTTGTTTGCTATTGTACTAGGAGAAAACTGAATTTTAATGAGTTTAAATAACTTAGCCAAGGGCACGCAGATAGGAAGTGGCAGAACAGGTTTCTGTTGCTAAAGTCTCTACTCTTAACATGATGCTCCAACAGTGCCCATAAGCCCCAAATCCAGAAATAATAATGGTTAGAAATAGTCTTTACTGTTAATTGATCTCCCAGAGGACAAGAGAGGTCTGGTTCAGGCCACTTTCCATTTAAAAAAATTATATCAGGAGTGTCCTGGCTGGTGTGGCTCAGTGTATTGAGTGCCGGCCTGTGAGCCAAAAGGTTGCTGTTTCGATTCCCAGTTGGGGCACGTGCCTGGGTTGCAGGCCAGGTCCCCAGCTGGAGGTGTGAGAGAGGCAACAGATTGCTGATTCTCTCACACATCATGTTCCTCTCCCTCTCTTTCTCCCCACTCTTCCCTCTCGCTAAAAATATAAATAAAATCTTTAAAAAATTATACATGCAGAAAAGTATAGATAAGTATAAAAAAGTACACACATCCCATTGATGAATTTCCGCAAACTTTAGTATATCCACATGGACGAAAAAGGGGCTCTTTAATAAATCTGACTGAAAGTAATCTCACAGGATGTCTTGATTATAATTCCTAACTGGGCAGGTCATGAAGGGTAGTCAGGCCTCTCAGGCCTATCACTTTCCTAGTAAAGATATCTTTGCTGTAAGCAAACCCTGTCCATTGTTATTGCCTCTTTTTCAGACCTCTGGGAAGCATAATCACCCTCAGGGGAGCACATAATCTTGTTAACTATTTCCTAATCCACAGAGATTTCCCTGCCTTGCTTTCTCCTGGATGCCTGAAACTAGTGGGGCTGTTGGGTAGGATAGATAGTGAGTGAAGACTTACTTCTGGCCAAGATGGTGGCATAAGCAGTTACACTTTGCCTCCTCGCACAACCAAAAGAAGGATAACAACAAATTTAAAAACAAAAAACAACCAGAACTGCCAGATAATCGGATTGTAAAGAAGTCCGACAACCAATGAGTTAAAGAAGAAACATTCATCCAGACTGGGAGGAGGGGCAGAGACCGGCCACCAAGGAGGAGAGGACTCACGGCAAGGCAGTGGCTGGAGGATCGGGTGGTTCCATGTTTGCACGTGGATAAACTGGGAGGAAAAACTGGGGAGCGAGACAGACCATGCCACCCAGGGTTCCAGCATGGGAAAAGAAAGCCTCAAATCCTCTAGCTGCAAAAGCCCGTATGGGGTTGCAGTGGTGGGAGAATCTCCCAGCCTCACAGATGAGTTCGTTTGAGAGACCCACAGGGCCCTAGGAAATACACAGATGCACCCACCCAGGAATCAGCAACCGAAGGACATAATTTGCTTGTGGGTAGTGGGGGAAGTAACTGAAAGCTGGTGGAGAGCCGAGCAAGTGACACTTTTCCCTCCTGGACCCCTCCCCCACATACAGCGTCACAATGCAGCAACCTGGGTATACCTAAAGGGGGAGGTTAAGAATAGTATAGGTAAAATATACCTAAAGCTCCACCACTTCCAATGTAACAGGAGTGCCAAGACAGTGAAATATGGCCCAAATGAAAGAACAGATCAAAACTCGGAAAAACCAACTAAGTGATGAAGAGATAGCCAACCTATCAGATGCAGAGTTCAAAACACTGGTAATCAGGATGCTCACAGAAATGGTTGAGTATGGTCACAAAATGGAGGAAAAAGTGAAGGCCATGCAAAGTGAAATGAAAAATACACAGGGAACCAACAGTAAATGGAAGGAAACAGGGACTCAAATAAAAGATTTGGAGCAGAAGGAAGAAATAAATATTTGACCAGAACAGAATGAAGGAACAAGAATTCAAAAAAGTGAGAGGCTTAGGAACCTCTGGGACAACTTTAAAGGTTCCAACATCCGAATCATAGGGGTGCCAGAAGGAGAAGAGGAAGAGCAAGAAATTGAAAGCTTATTTGAAAAAATAATGAAAGAGAACTTCCCCAATCTGGCCAGGGAAATAGACTTCCAGGAGATCCAGGGAGCTCAGAGAGTCCCAAAGAAGTTGGACCCGAGGGAGCACACCCACCAAGGCACATCATAATCACATCACCCAGGATTAAAGATAAGGGAAAAATCTTAAAAGCAGCAAGGAGACAGGAGACAGTTACCTACAAAGGAGTTCCCATAAGACTCTCAGCTGATTTCTCAAAAGAAACCTTGCAGGCAAGAAGGGGCTGGAAAGAAGTATACAAAGTCATGAAAGGCAAGGACCTCCATCCAAGATTACTCTATCCAGCAAAGCTATCATTTAGAATGCTTGATAAAGTGCTTCCCATATAAGGTCAAGTTAGAAGAGTTCATCATCACCAAGCCCTTAGTATATGAAATGTTGAAGGACTTATTTAAGAAAAAGAAGATCAAAAACTATAAATAGTAAAATGACAAAAGTCACAACTCTCAACTGAACTTAAAAAAACAAAAACAAAAACAAAGTAAGCAAACAACTAGAACAGGAACAGAATCACAGAAATGTAGATCACATGGAGGGTTATCAGAGAGGAGGGGAAGCGGGACAGGAGACAATGGGGGAAAAGGTACAGGGAATAAGAAGCATAAATGGTAGGTACAAAACAGACAGAGGGAGGTTAAGAATATAGGAAATATAGAAAACAAATAACTTATATGTATGTCCCATGGACATGAACTAAGGAGGGGGAGGATGCTGCTTGGAGGGGAGGTGCAGGACGGAGAATAGAGGGCAGAAAAAGATGAGACAACTGTAACAGCATAATCAGTAAAATATGCTTTAAAAAGTAAGTCAAGGCAGAGAGAAGGAGGGAGACATGTCTCACCCACTAACTCAGCAGTCCTGAGCATGGTACAATAGGATTGCCAGGTGTTCCCAACATCACAAGAAACACCCTGCTAGCTAGCACAGGAGGGGAGTCCTTGAAATTCTGTGTATGATTTCCACTACCTGGGAGAAAGCCTTTGAAACTGTGTATTCAACCAAAGGTCTTGGGGAAGGAGGAGTGGAGGGGGTCCACAGTGCCCAAAGAAAGAAGCCCATAAAACAACTTTGATTAATTGCCTACCTCTGGTCACTATCTGTTTTATGAGGGGTCCCTAGTGCTTCAGAAAGAGCCCATAAATAACTTTGGGTAACTGCCTCAGCTTTAATTAACTGCCTCCTTTCACATATCTGTTTTACAAGATGAACAAATGTGGTCTGGAGCAAGATAAGAATTCCGGCTAACAGACTCCCAGACACCCACATACACCTACATTTGGGTAGTCCCCCCTCCGAGTTCCTCCCACTTCCCCCGCCCCCCAGGAAGTGGGCACCAGCTTTACCCACCAATCAATATGTAACTCCCTCACCCCCATTCCGCCAACTATGTAAGTTCTCAGGATAGAGGACCTGATGCTCTTCCTTGTCCTTGCTCTTGCTGCCTTTGCTCTTTCTGCCACCCAACACTATACCTTTCACCCCCCACCTCGGCAAGGCCTGATCTTGTCCGTGAAAACATCACTAATAAACTTTGCTTGCAAGTTGGCTACTAGACTTGCTGATCTGTAATTCTTTATTGTGTCAGCGAGAAGAACCAGCTTTTCCCCATAACAAGACTTGGAGAGAGATGGGGATGGTTTCCTCTAGCTGATGATAGTGGAGAAAATTGGAAAGGAACTGAAATATTTGGGATACAGAATAATTGGATTTAATAGGCTGAAGGAGGTGTCAAGAATGATTCATGAGTTTCTTCCTCATGCACAAAATTGAGGGAACCTGCTTCAAAATTTTTTGCACTTCCAATAGTTTTTTTTTTTTTTTTCTTTTTCCTTTTGGGGCAATTATACTTGAAATCTGGCTGTACAGTTTTCTAAAACAGCACATTTACATCAGCTCCCACCTTAGGCACTGCCTGGAGCTCAGTATACTGAACTCTGTCCTTCAAGTGCAAAGACCTTTGTCCCCCTAAGTACCAGGAAACGTGACCAAATTCTTTTCCACGCGAGTCTCCAGAGGGTGGCGCATGCCCAGAAAGGGCCTGTGGGGCCGACCGCCGGAGAGCAAACGGCTAGACATTTCCACCATTTTGTCAGCGCAACGGGGCTGGCCGGGGCTGGAGACTACAAGTTCCGTGAACCCCCGCGGCGACACTTCCTACCCCTCACTGTCCGGCCTGCTCCCTTTTCCCCCCTCCCGGGGGCCGAAGGCTCTGGCTGCCGCCAGCGGCCTGCGGGCCAAGTAGGATTTCCGGGGGAAACTACTGTGGAGGCTAAGTAAGCTGCGGCGGCAACCCGGGTGAGTTTTGCAAGAAAGGGAAAGTGAGCGGGAAGCGCCCGGGGTCGGGCTGCGGCCGCCTTTTAGGCTCCGGCCACATTCTTTGCTCCACCAGTGGGTCGCAGTTCGGGGGAGGGAAAGGGCTCGAGCCGTGGTCGCTTCGGGCGGCGGACGGGGCGGGCCGGGGCCGCCGCCTACTCCTCCGCCCTCCCACAACGGTCCCGCGGTGGCCTCTCCTGCAGCGCGCCTCGCGCAAGCTTTCCTTCTCCGCCCCAGGCTACTTGGCCGATCCCTTTTGTCTGGGCTGCTGTGCGCCTTTGTGCTTGTGCGTGGAGTTGCCTCCTCGGAGGAGCCCCTGGGGCCAGTGTCTGCCTGGGACCTGTCCCTGGGGATCCGGTTACGGTAACCCGATCAGGTCAAAGTCCATTTTACAAAACTGTCCGGCCTCAGACCTCTGCATCCCGGCTGGACAGAACGGGAGCTTCGGAGCCAGGGAGAGGCAGACGGAGTTTTTGTTGAAACCCTCGAGGTTATTGTCTAATTGTTAAACGTCAGCCCGGGGCTGCTTCAAGACACGAAGCTCCAGGGGGTTTTTCGGTAGGGGGAATGGCCTTCGGAAAAGAAGTGAGCCCCAGTCCCGGGGAAACTGGAAAGGGATGGAATTTGCTGCGATGTCGTTTTGGGGCGCAGCTCTGATCCGCGAACCAAAGAACCAATGCGAATGGGCTCATTGGTAGTACGCCTCTAGAATCTCGAAGGAGAAAAAGTGATTTAGAGCAACGAGCAGCCTTTTCATTCATTGCATGCAGAAAAAGATTACACTACTTCATCCAGCCTCCCAGCTCCTGGCCCCCCAGATCCTTTTCTTATTCTGCTTTAAAAAGTCAAAAGAAAACGTCCATAAATTGAAGGAGTGCTTTACAGATAAAATAGACACCTAGTGGTTGCTAGAAAGCAAAAGGACTATTTCACTAAGTAATAGGAATCAAACCAGTTTGCGGGAGGAGAGGTAGTAGATCCTTTAGTGCAACACTTGAATGTGGATTTGGTCATACTGTTAGATAGTGGAAACTTTATTATGTACGTCCCGTTCAAGACTGAATTGGTAGATATTCAGCTTAAGATAATGCTTTATAAACGCCATTACAAATACTCCTTTTGAAATACTAAATCATTGTAGATTTAATATTTAAAGTGTCTGAAATGCGGACAACCGGGACTCCTTGACAGGAATCAGGGAAGGTTATTGAAGTTAGTTAGGTTAAATTCCCACCCTACCCATGTAGGCAAACAAAGCCCTTTGTATTCTATTACTTTCGTATCTCATAATGGAAGTGATTTACTCTGAGAATCCCAGATTGTGTTAGATATTGTACAGAGATAAAGGTCTTTAATGCAGTTGTTCTTCAGTTTTTAATCTGGCAATGAGTGGGGATTGTGTTTTCCTGGCTAAGCTTTTAAGCAGTACCCACAGAATTGTTCTAGTAGTTTTAAAAATAATCTAAGGAATAGCAGTTGGTAATGATTAACTGTTTTGTATACCTTCAAACATGCCAATACTGTTTTTTGAAAACAGCTCATGTACATTATTATTATTTTTTATTGATTGATTTGAGAGAAACATCGATTTGTTGTTCCACTTATTTATGCATTCATTGGTTAATTGTATAGTGACTATAGTGAATGGACTTAGGAGAAATACGTTTGTGCCTACATAGAAATAAAGTAATTGATCTTTAGAGTACAATGGTAAAAAAAGGTATAAAATGAGAAAAGTATCATTTCAGGCCCCAGTGTTATTCCCCAAAGCTTTTATTCAGACTTTTTATTTACTTATATTTTTTTAGAGAAAAATATAGGAAGGGAAAAAGAGAGAAACATTGATTTGTTGTTCCACTTATTTATGCATTCATTCGTAGATTCTTGACTAGGAATTGGACTTGTATCCTTGGCATATGGGGTCAACATTCTAACCAACTGAGCTACTTGGCCAGGTTTTCATATACATGAAGTAATTTAATTTTTACTGCAATTTTGTGAGGTGGTCATTCTCTCATTTTATGCTGACAAATGTTAAATTTATAGCCTCTAAAATGTTCTGTAACTTGCCCAAGTTCACAGAGTTCACCTAGGTAGGAGATAGGAGAGTAAACCACACTCAAGTCAAGTGGTCTTTTCATTACCGCACACCTATTGCAGTTACACATCATACCGCCGCCACCCCCTTGTGATTTACTGAGATGTAAATATTGGGGAAAATAATGAAAATATTTTCCAATCAGAGCAAACTGATTTATAAGGAACTGGGGTTTCTAGAATTATAGACAGTGTTATACTAAACTGGAAGTCACACTAAACGTTGGTGCCATTACCTTGTCTTGTGGTATGCTGTGATTACCTTATACCTAGGCTGAATGGCGATTTTATGTATCCGTAGGCATGGGGAAGGGTGGTCAGTTCCTATGCTGAGGTTTTGACTAATTATACTTAAAGGCCTATTTACTAAAAGGTTTTGACTAATCTTTGCTTAAAGGTTTATTAAGAAATATATTGAACATCCCACATTCAGCAGCTTTGGCTGCTGGGACTAACTTGGAAGAAAACTTTGAAGAAAACTGAAATTCAGATAGTTTTCTAGCCAAAAAGTGAAGAATCAAGAAAATGTTTTCTTTAGTTTTTGCTCTTAGTAAAAACTTTTCATCAGTTTCAAACCTGCAATTTAAGTCTTGGATTTGTGTCAGAACATGCCATAAATGTGACATCAGACAAGTACTTCACCTCCCTTATTTAGATTCTTTTTAGATAAAATGTATAACATGCCGATGCAATTGAGTCAAAATTAGTCTAGTCTTTTAAACTAGTAGAAGCCTGTTTCAAATCTCTTACTAAGCCGTAATAATGGAAGGAACTTAAAAAAATTTTTTTTTAATTTATTGATTTTAGAGAAAGAGAGGAAGAGAGAGGGAGGGGGAGTGAGAGAGAAAGAAAGAAAAGAAACACTCCTTTGTTGTTCTACTTATTTACGCATTCGTTGGTTGGTTATGTGCCCTGACTGGGGATGAAACCCTCAACCATGGTTTGTCTGGATGATAATCTAACCAATGGAGCTACCTGGCCAGGGCTGGAAGGGACTTTCTTCCCTTGTGTTTCTTTGCCATTGGTCTTTTTTATTTACAAAGCAGTTCATTTATTCAGTCAACAAATATTTAGTGAAAACCTATTGTGTTTGAAGTACTGTTGTAGACCAATCTTGAGGATGAAGCAGTGAAAACAAAACAAGTCTTTTCCCTTTGGGGCTTATGGACTGATGGGGGTGGGGTGGAAAAAACAGAGAAGTCAGGCAGGAAATAGGTACTAAAATAAAATTCTGTCTTATTTACTGTGCAACTTTGAGGGATAACCTTCTTGAACTTTTTCTTTTCTTTAACATGGTGATGATTCCTGCTCTACCTAGCTTGTAGAATTGTTTCCAGAAGCTAGTAGAGTGAGTATTTGGTTGTATTATACCCTCCAAGTTCCTGTAGTAAGTAACTTGTGACTACTGTAAAAGGAAAAGGAGCGTTGAGAAAAGGTTATTTATAAAGACACACAGGGAATGGATGGGTTCCCTGGTCTAAGAGAGTCTGGTGTCCCACTATAAGCCATTTTGTGACGAATGGTCATGTCTTCACATGGGCTACCATAACACTGTATGTAGATCTGTTTTAAAAATTTTTTTATTGTTGTTTGATGACAATTGTCCCCATTTTCCCCCCATTGCTGTCACCTGCCCTACCCACCTCCTATCTCCCACCTCCCACATTCAATCCACTCCCCCTCCCCCCTTTGTCTTTGGCCATGGGTCCTTTATACACATCCCCTGACTCTTCTCCTTCTTTCCCTGCTGTCCCCTTCCTCTCTCCTCTGGTTGCTGTCAGTTTGTTCTTTCTGTCCCTGGCTCTTGTTCTGTTTTGCTCGCTTGTTTTGTTGATTAGGTTCCACTTATAGGTGAGATCATACGATATTTGCCTTTTACCTCCAGGCTTGTTTCACTTAGCATAAAGCTCTCCAGTTCCATCCATGTTGTCACGAAGGGTAGGAGTTTTTTCTTTCTGCTGCATAGTATTCCATTATGTAAATATACCACACTTTTTGGATTTACTCATTTACTGATGGGCACTTAGGTTGCTTCGAGCACTTGGCTATTGTAAATCGTGCTGCTATGAACATTGAGGTGTATAGGGTCTTTTGATTTGGTGTTTCAGGATTCTTAGGGTATATGCCCAGCAGGGTAATTGCCGGGTCAAAAGGCATTTCCATTTTTAGTTTTCTGAGGAAATTCCATACTGTTTTCCACAGTGGCTGCATCAGCATTCCAACCAGCGGTGGCCTAGGGTTGCCTTTTCTCCACAGCCTCGCCAGCAGTTGTTTGTTGATTTGTTTATGATGGCCATTCTGACCAGTGTGAAGTGGTATCTCATTGTGGTTTTAATTTGCATCTCTCTGATGGCTAGTGATGCTGAGTATCCTTTCATATGTCTGTCGGCCCTCTATGTCCTCCTGGAGAAGTGTCTATTCAGGCCCTTTGCCCATTTTTTAATTGGATTGTTTATCTTCCTGGTGTGGAGCCGTGTGAGTTCTTTATGTATTTTGGAAATCAAACCCTTGTCCGAGGTATCATTGGCAAATATATTTTCCCATATGGTTGGTTCCCTTTTCATTTTACTGATGTTTTCTGTAACCATGCAAAAGCTTTTTAATTTGATGTAGTCCTAATTGTTTATTCTTTCCTTTATATCCCTTGCTCTAGGGGACATATCAGTGAAAATACTGCTGCGCGGAATATCTGAAATTTTCCTGCCTGTGTTCTCCTCCAGGACTTTTATGGTGTCATGACTTATATTTAAGTCTTTTACCCATCTTGAGTTTATTTTTGTGTATGGTGTAAGTTGGTGGTCGAGTTTCATTATTTTTCTTGTAGCTGTCCCGCTCTCCCAACACCATTTGTTGAAGAGGCTATTTTTACTCCATTGTAGATCTTT